ATTATAGATGTAATATAGATAATAACAATATTATATAAAAATAATTAAAATTACCAAAATTATTAAAGATAATAATTAACTTTGCATCTATCGAATATATATATAAGACACATTACATCATGTTTAGTAAAAATTAAACGAAATAAAAGAATAATGTATTTAAAAGATATTGTATACTAAAGAATAAAATAGCTTATAAAAATCGAAGACAAAAAATAGAGAACTCTTTCTTTACAGACGCGGGCAGAACTGAAATTATTTCTATTTTCTATAATAACGTTTGTGAAACGTGAGTCGATGTAAACATATTTGTCGGTGATCTCAACGGTATGTATAAACGGTGCCGTGTAACGGTCGTCGCGATATGTAAACAATGCCGATGAAATCATCGTGTCGGTGAAAACAACGCCGGTGACGTAATCGCCCTGGCGATTTCAAGGTAACTCCGCAACGATAACCGTAACACTCGCGCGCGAGTGTTTATTAACGAAATTTAGCGGCGACGTTGTAATTGCGCGAGTAAATCAAGGAATGCTCCACGTAGATGACGCCGGGCTCGGTCGGCGGGGAAGTCGGCGCGGGGGAGTGCGGCAAGGGAAGTCGTCGGAGCCGCGACAACTGTTGGTCGGACGCATCGTGGCGGAAGTTAACGGGTCCCGCGGACTGTTTCATTTTCATTGAGCATCGCGCGCGGCCGAGGTCCGGGCATATTTGCGCGAATTTGCGGAGAACAGTCGGCGCGTTTCGCGTTGATTAAAGCAATCGAATCGGACGGACGCCGCCGCACGCTTGATTTCTGTCGGAGAGACGGGATCGATCGCGACGCGAGCGACGATGAATTATCGGATCTGTCTCGATCCGATAAAAAGCCGTTTCCATGAAACTCGATTACAGGCCCGGCCCGGCCCGACGCACAGTGATGTGATCTTATGGGCGTTCGAAACAATAATCATAATTTTTTAAGCAATTTTCGACCTAAGTACGTTAGCGATTTTTTAAATATATGCCATATGTTTTTTAAAATAATATACCATTATGTTAAAAAATATTGGAACGATTTTGCTTTTCTGTTGAATAAAAAAAATCTTTTATCGACATTTGGTATTGCAATTTTTTAGAGAATAATCAATGTTCAATGTTCAGTGGTCGATCGTCAATTGTCATTGTTATTAGCCCAATGTTCAATATTCAATGTTCAATGGTCAATGATCAATTGTTAATAGTCCAATGTTCAATGGTCAATTGTCATTGTTATTAGTCCAATGTTCAATATTCAGTGTTCAATATTCAATGATCAATGGTCAATTGTCATTGTTAATAGTCCAATATTCAATGTTCAATGGTCAATGGTAAATTGTCATAGTTAATAGTCCAATGTTACAATGTTCAATGATTAATGGTCAAGTGTCATTGTTATTAGTCCAATGTTCAATATTCAATGATCAATGGTCAATTGTCATTGTTATTAGTCCAATGTTCAATATTCAATGGTCAATTGTCTTTGTTATTAGTCCAATGTTTAATATTCAATGTTCAATGGTCAATTGTCAATTGTTAATAGTCCAATGTTCAATATTCAATTTTCAATGGTCAATGATCAATTGTTAATAGTCCAATGTTCAATGTTCAATGGTTAATGGTCAATTATTATTGTTAATAGTTTAATGTTCAGTGTTCAATGGTCAATGTTTAATGTTCAATGTTCAATGTTCAATGTTCAATTGTCATTGTTATTAGTCCAATGCTCAATATTCAATGTTCAATTGTCAATGGTAAATTGTCATTGTTAATAGTCCAATGTTCGATGTTCAGTGTCCAATATTACATTAAAATTGCAATGTAATTGAATGAGACATAATAGAAATTACGTACACATACAATGAATCGAATAACGACGATCTATTAGGCACGGCGCCTTCCGCAACGTGAAATATATCGCGTGTTAAGGAGTGATACCTTTACCCGCTTTTTCCATTGTCCATTCGCTCGTGGGCTTTAACTCGGTGTTGAATTGCAAAGTGACTCCGTGGAACCGTGAATCGAACACCTCGCGAAGCCCTCGGCTATTACGGAGAATTATCGACGATGCGAAGGGCTTCCGTCGCAACCGGGATATTCGGTGACGAATTTCGCCTCGCATTAGATCCCGTGCTAGTCTATTTGTTGTGGCGATCGTCAAATTTCAAGCGATGAATTTTAATGAATATATTTTTTATCGAGAATCTTCGATAAAGATTTATCCGACTGGACGAAATGAATTGTGTCCGATTGACCAAATGCAAATGGGTTTTATTTATGCAGAAACTTTGGCTGTTAATATTGTTTCAGTTATTTTATTATTTTTACTATTATTATTATTATTATTAGTG